TGGTGTTATTAAGGAATTTACTGAATGTGACAATGAGTTGAGTTTTTTATATATATCCAGGGGCAATTTTCTTCAAAACATGATTTTCAGGTAAGAATTCTCTAGTTTATTCCTTGAAATGGGATTAAACAGCTGATTGTGTAGCAAGATGTACATACATACGTTTTGTTATTGAGTTCAACGGTACCAGGATCAGACTCTAATTGGGTGAGAGAGAGAAGAGAAGATATACAAGTCAGGTCTGAACCTGAGAATCATGAAGACAGAAAAGATTCAAGATTCTCGACAGCTGTCATCTTGGCAAATATCCCAAGAATGTGCACAGTAGCAGCACACCAGAGTCAGCAAATGAATCTGCAGACATTTATGTCCAGAAATCATAACTCTGTGATCTTAACAAGAGGGTTATAGAACAGATGTCCCAAGATTTATCAGATTAGCATGTCTTTTATGGACATTTAATCTAGAAAACAATAAGAAATTATTTTTCAAAGGATTTCTGAAGATAAGAAGGTTGTGCAAAGGAAAAGACAGAGGGGATTATGTTGGATCATATTAAAGAAGTTCTGTATTAAAATCACAAATGAGTTTGATTCCCCATAGTTTAAATTCCAGGGTATTACTAATTAAGAGGTCTCTTGGTTTTTGGTACTGTTTCTCTCCCTCTCTGTGTGAAACTTGCAAGCTGCTAATTGTGTTAGTACATTCTAAGACAGAGTCTGTTCGCAAAGCAATTCTATGTAACAACAACTACTCACACAGAGAAAGACTCAAATCAATACTCAGAAACAGCACCCAGAGACTCCCCGCCCTTTTGTTGTATTCATCTCACTTTGTTAACAATTGTGATTAAAATAGAGATAGAGGATGTATGTGGATGGATGCTTGGTGTGGATAATAACTGAATCACCAGGGAGGTGCCAGCCTAAGAATCCAGTGTCCATCGGCTGAAGAAGGCGTCAAGTGGAAATAACCAGAGGACCTCCGGAGGGCAGACTGGAATCCACCCAACAGACTCAAGAATGGGAGAAACAAAGAACAAGATAACATCTGGCAGCACAGAGCCGTCAGGAATGTGCCATCTGCTGATAGATTCAGCAACAGCATGATGAAGCAATTCCCATAGACTGGCATAGGAAGAAATTCCTATAAAAATGGACTCTAGAAAGTGAGAACTTGGGGGTCTGATTCTGCAAACCAACTTCCAGGAGCATCAGATGAGCATCTGACAAGGCCCTCCTCCCTCCTCATGTCCAGGCCACCTGGCCAGTGGCTTGGCATGAGCAACTCTAAGGCTGGTAACTATGATAACAACCTTGCAGAGCCTGTGTGTGTGTGTGTATGAATGAATAAATATGAAATTGAATGGAATGTTATAGCTATAACTAACTGCTTACTATGATTCTTTCTGTATTCACAATAAATGTGACATTTTGCCTTTTCCCCTTTAATAAGATCCTGCTGTTTTTTATTTTATTGGTATAACAGCTGTAGTCTAGTACCCATTGTGGTTGTCCCAAAAATGTTAGGTGGCGTTTATCTCCCATCTGAAGGAGCACCCAGATATGTAAATGAATGGCATATGGGATTGCTGATTGGGGTGGAGGTTGAGATGAAGTGGTCTAGAAGTCCAGGACTTTATTTTTGTAGCGTTTGCCTGCCTAGAACTTATTTTTAAGTGTAATTAGGCATCATTTTCAAATCTATAAGGAAGATGAGGAAACATTGTAGGTGGGGCAGCATATCCCCTCTTAGCTATATGTGCACTTCCTAATTACTTTTAAACATGGCTTCTCTGCTGTGGCCTCCTTTCACTATACAATCCAGGATGCAGCAGCAGTTGCCCCACCTTCTCTCATTCCCCACCCCAATCAGCAATCCTGTGTTGCCACATTTACCTGGCCAGAATATGTCAGGTTTCTGGAGTCAAATTCTAGGTTGCCCTCAGATTGTCATTTTAAATCTCCAAAATATGTTTTATATGCTCTCTGATTCAAAAGATGGAAACACAAGCCAAATAATTTCAAGAGTCAAACTTGTAAGAGATTCTTTAGTAATATACATTTTAGAAGCAAGAGGAAGATCAAGGACAGGGTAGGCCCATTACTCAATGCGGGGAGGAGGGAAATAATAACAGAAAATGTGGAAATGGCAGAGGTGCTTAATGACTTCTTTGTTTCGGTTTTCACCAAGAAGGTTGGTGTTGATTGGACGTCTAACGTAGTGAATGCCAGTGAAAATGAGGTAGGATCAGAAAAGGCTAAAATAGGGAAAGAACAAGTTAAAAATTACGTGGACAAATTAGATGTCTTCAAGTCACCAGGGCCTGGTGAAATGCATCCTAGAATACTCAAGGAGCTGACTGAGGAGATATCTGAGCCATTAGCTATTATCTTTGAGAAGTCCTGGAAGATGGGAGAGATTCCAGAAGACTGGAAAAGGGCAAATATAGTGCCCATCTATGGAAAGAGAAATAAGGATAACCCAGAGAATTACAGACCAGTCAGCTTAACTTCTGTACCCAGAAAGATAATGGAGCAAATAATTAAGCAATCAATTTGCAAACATCTAGAAGATAATGTGATAAGTAACAGCATGGATTTGTCAAAAACAAATCATGTCAAACCAACCTTATACCTTTCTTTGACAGGGTAACAAGCCTTGTGGATAGGAGGTAGATGTGGTATATCTTATCTTGACTTTAGTAAAGCTTCTGATACTGTCTCACATGATCTTCTCATAAACAAACTAGGGAAAGGCAACCTAGATGGAGCTACTATACGGTGGGTGCAAAACTGGTTGGAAAACCGTTCCCAGAATGTAGTTATCTATGGTTGACAGTCATGCTGGAAGGGCATAACGAGTGGGGTCCCACAGGGATTAGTTCTGGGTCCGGTTCTGTTCAATATTTTCATTAATGATTTAGATAATGGCATACAGACTACACTTATAAAGTTTGCGGACAATGCCAAGCTGGGATGGGTTGCAAGTGCTTTGGAGGATAGGATTAAAATTCAAAATGATCTGGACAAACTGGAGAAATGGTCTGACGTAAATAGGATGAAATTCAATAGGGATATATGTAAAGTACTCCATTTAGGAAGGAACAAGCAGTTGCACACATACAAAATGGGAAATGACTGTCAAGGAAGGAGTACTGTGGAAAGGGATCTGGGGGTCATAGTGGACCACAAGCTAAAGATGAGTCAACAGTGTAACGCTGTTGCAAAAAAAGCAAACATCATTTTGGGATGTGTTAGCAGGGGTGTTGTAAGCAAGACACGAGAAGTAATTCTTCCGCTCTGATCAGGCCTCAACTGGAGTATTTTGTCCAGTTCTGGGTGCCACATTTCAGGAAGGATGTGGACAAATTGGAGAGAGGTCAGAGAAGAGCAACAAAAATGATTAAAAGTCTAGAAAACATGACCTATGAGGGAAGATTGAAAAAATTGGGTTTGTTTAGTCTGGAAAAGAGAAGACTGAGAGGGGACATGATAACAGTTTTCAAGTATGTAAAAGGTTGTTACAAGGAGGAGGAAGAAAAATTGTTTTTCTTAACCTCTGAAGATAGGACAAGAAGCAATGGGCTTAAATTGCAACAAGGGAAGTTTAGGCTGGACATTAAGAAAAACTTCCTAAATGTCAAGGTGGTTAAGCACTGGAATAAATTGCCTAGGGAGATTGTGGAATCTCCATCATTGGAGATTTTTAAGAGCAGGTGAGGCAAACACCTGTCAGGAACGATCTAGATAATTAGTCCTGCCACGAGTGCAGGGGACTGGACTAGATGACCTCTCAAGGTCCCTTCCAGTTCTATGATTTTATGTATCTCAGAGCTTATTTTCATGGGGTTTTTAAACTGGATCAGCTTGAGTTAATCCAGTTTGAAATGCTTGCGTACATATGATGCAACCTATTACTGTGCATTAACTCCACATTTATCTGGAATGCAAATCTTCTTGCCAAGTGGACTCGGTTTGCTTCCAGCTGAATAAGTTCAAATCTTCTGATTGTATGCACGTAATTGCCATGTACCACCTTTTGCATGCTTCCAATGGCTATCCCACAAAGCTTTGCAGGTTGGCCGTTACCAACCTGTCTGTTTACTTGTGTGCCCTCCCTGCCCTGGTACCAAGTTTCCAGGATGACCTTTGCCCGCATTAAAAGATGGTACAGAGCCAAATTTTCCCTGTTTGATCCAGGATCCCTGTGTATCATTATTCTGGTGATACAACCATGATTGCAGAAGGCCCACAACAGGCCTCACACAGCTGGTTGGAGCCATGCTGAGGCCCTGGATCTCATTGCCATCTGGGGAGAAGAGTCTGCTCAGGAAGGAATCTTGTGGCCAGCCACCATGTCTTTTTTGTGGACATTGCAAAGCAGTTGTATGTGAGGGGTCATGACCAGGATACCGACCAGTGAAGAGCAAGCATCTCAGGAGAAAGTACATTGAAACAAGGGATAAAAGGGATAGTAACACTTCCCTAACTCATAGGAAGTTTGTGAGGATAAACCCATTAAAGTGTGAGAGGTGCTTGGCTAACAAGTTTATTGGGGCCACGTAAGAACCTGTAGTAGAAATAGAAGGTCCTGATCCTGCAGTCAGCTCCGTGTGAACCACTGTGGCTGCCTGGAGCCCCACTGCCTGTCGTGCGACTCCACACAGGCACAGCAGCTTGCCTGCACACAGTGAATTGCATGATCAGGGTCTCACACTTGTAAAATAAATCAGCCAGCAGTTGATAATCTGCTTGTAAACTCCTGTTTGAAAATAAAGACAATCCCCTTGTACAGTAACCAGATGTTTAACTGAATATCAGTCTCTATAAGTGCCTTAGGCCATTGCTTTATAACGGTTTGAAGAGAGCTTAGAACAGTTTTAAAATCCAAAACAATTATACAGTTCAGAGACTTCTCAAATGTGGTATTGGATTCCCTTTTGTTTGTATTTGGTATGTCAGGTATGACTGATTACAAAGTGTTCTCATATAACTTACCCAACCAAGTATTTCTGCTCTCAGATTTTCCCTGTTCTTTATTATCCATAATTGGATAACTTCTCTCCAGTTTTCACCTTGGAACATTGAAGATAAGGTTTCCGTTTAATCATCCCACTTTAAGTACTTACAATCAGACTGGATATTGCTGCTTTTAAAATAAGACAAAGACATTTAATGACTTTCATTTCTTCCTGTACAAAAGATTAATTTCTAGGCTGGAGTTACCTTTGTATAGGACAATTCTCTCTACTCTTTCAAATGATTCATCCTGACTTAACAACTTAATTCTTTTATATTTTTGATTCTTTTTCTTTTTAGCAAGTGTTCCTGCAAGCGTTTGCCATCTTTTTACCACAATCTAATTTAGCTTTTGTTTTCAAATTAGTCTGAAATTAAGCATTCAGACAAGTGGCAAGGTGTGGTGGTTTACCCTGATAACACCACTCCTGGCATGCAGTGCGAGGAATGAGGTCAAAGGCCAACTGTCTTCAATTATTCTTAAGGCTGGTTTGGTGGTAGATCACCCATACTCTGAGCTATCTGAACCTTTCCATAAAATGATACAATTAAGGAGGGGGAAAAATCTTAGTCCCGAGGGAAAAAATAAAATTATTTCTTAATGGCTCTCAAGAATTCAAGCCCTAGTGATAGTGAAAGTTCATGGAAAACATTTGCATGTCTGTGAGCTGAGGCAGGTCAGAGGGGTGCTGCAGATGACAGGGTATTTATCCATGAAATGCTGGGTGCTCTGCAGATATACAGGAAAGTCCCTGTTCCAAGGAGCTCAAAATCTAAGTGTGGACAGACAGACAGGTATGCAGAGACCATGGGAGGGGAACAACAAAAGATACTTTATATACAAATCAACAAGACTCAATATAGGCAGCATGACAGAAGGCCATTTTTAAGAAGCATTTAAAAGCAGCAGGAGCAAGTGGGTGAGTTCAGGAAGGTCAGAACATGGCCATCAGGCTGTGTGGTAGGAGGCACGAAGATGACTGAGAGATCGACAAATGGGTGGACAGTGGTGGAAACACTGGTGGAGAGGAGAGGGTGGGATCACATGATGCTTCACAAGGGAAGGCCAGAGACTAAACTGGATGCTATCATGGGTGGGAGCCAGTGAAGGGATTCAAGAAGGGTAGTTTGAGCAAGGAGGATGACTTTAGTGGCTGCATTTAACATGGTCAGAACTAAGAGGGGCAAGATACGCGTTTGGGAGACCAGACAGGAGGATGGGACAATAGTAGGGACTTGTCAGGGAACAGAAGCTCCACCATGTGACCTATCTGATGGTGGTGAGGAACTGACACTAAGTGACCTCTGCCCCCCAGCAAAGGAAGTCCTTGGAGGGCTTGTCTTCCCACATCCTATAGGCAAGTAGAAAATTCATTCTGCCACCCCATTCTTCCTGCCCCTAATATCGGGCCTGATGCAAGCCCCAATTAAGTTAATGAAAAGATTCTCAGGTCCATGGCTTACTCCAACTGGACACAACCAAACTTAGCTCCTCAGCTAACAACACTGCTAGCAATCCCCACTGTGACTGGATGATGTGTTGTCTCAGTAGTGATGAGGATGGGAGGAAATGCTCAGCAGAATGAAATTGCCTGAACAGGGTGTCATTCTGTGTTCTGAAGTACTCTGACACGTCTCATCTGAGGATTCTGAAATATTATTGTGATGCTATAACACAACTCAATTATCAAATATACACTCCTTCATAACAAAGTACAGTGAGAACAAGAATGTGAATTCAACAGGGTGTGGTATAAGAACCTATATAGAATAGAATAGAATAGAATAGAATAGTCACATGGACTGGACATGGCTTCACAATTTGCTTTTGGGTGAAAAACAGAGAATCAAAATTATTTTTTAAATCCTTTAAGTAAGTTTCTTTTTAATTTGAACATTCTCCTGCAGCATTTGCAACCCAAACAGAAAAGCATTATGCTGCTGCAGGAGAATCGGAATATGAAGCTGATAAGACAAACAGACCAGTCTTGCTTTACTATCCGGACTAAGGCCCCAATCCTGCAAGGAGCTTTACAGAGATGGACCTCTGTGCCTGCGTATAGTCCACAGGTCAGTGTGTATTACGCATCCCCTTCTGCGCGTGATCCACAAAGGATGAGTCTGTTACAGCTCCTACCTGCAAAGCCTGGCGCACGGCGTAGAGTCTGATAATTTCAGTTCTGGAGGTCCCCAGTAAAGTGGATGAATAATAGATTTTTCAGTTCACTGGCACTACTGAAAACAAAAAATTGTTTTGAGTCAAACTAAAAGTGAAATATTTTCAAATTTTCAGTGAAATGGAAAGTCAAAAAATGTTTGGGGTCAAATGAAATGTTTCATTCAACCCGAAACAAAACATTTTGCTTCAGTTTTGAGCAACTTATAAATTTTAACTTTTTTTTTAAAAAAAGTCCATTTGAATCAAAAAATCAAAATATTTCATTTCAAAAATGTCAAAATGAAACTCTTTTGATTTTCTCAGAATTATTTATTCTGACCAAAACAACTTGGGGGAGGTTGACACAAATTTGCAAAATGTTTCAATTGACCTGAAATCTGCATTTTTTTTGCCAACAAAATGTTGTGGTTAGAAAATTTCACCCAGCTCACATCATAGTTCAGTCCTTAGAGTATCAGCGAATACAGACTAACACGGCTGTTCCTCTGAAACCAGCCAAGAGAGTGGCCATCTCATAAGATTCCAGTGAAGTCAGCAAGGATTTGCTTCAGTGTTGGGTCTGCCCATTTGGTACAGCCTTGCAGGATCAACATGCAAGGAGAAGTAAACAGTGTAAATGATGAAAAACAAAACAACATTGAAAAAATATTTCAATTTGAACATTATAAGAAATTTTTTCTTTTCAAAAATATGGGATCAAATTCCTGTCCATGAACACATTTATGCAACACCAAGTAATCTGAGCACCTGAGGGCAGATGCTAGCCTTTGCTATTTAACCCAAAATAATTTTTTCTCCTGTTGGATCTTTTTGCTGTTGTTGATTAGGGAGACTTCCTTAATGATGTTATTCCTTTAAGCATAGTTTTTACATGGTAATTTCCTTTTAGAAAAAATGCAGTGAAGTGAATGAGAGATGACATGACAGATTGTAACTGCTGTGTCTATTGGCCCCAAAGGTAGTCATTTGTGTTTTTAAAATTCCGTAATTATATATGTACACCATAGATTCTAATGGGCTCCAAACAGTTAGCAACTTATGCACCATCCGTAAATACTGTGTCGAAAAAGTGGTAAAGATTAAACTAAAATAAGCTTGTAAAGGACAGGAATTATACCTGAAGTGAGGAGAAACACTGGTAAGTAATAAGAAAAGGAGTACTTGTGGCACCTTAGAGACTAACCAATTTATTTGAGCATGAGCTTTCATGAGCTACAGCTAGCTCACGAAAGGTCATGCTCAAATAAATTGGTTAGTCTCTAAGGTGCCACAAGTACTCCTTTTCTTTTTGTGAATACAGACTAACACGGCTGTTACTCTGAAAACTGGTAAGTAATGTATAGCAAAAGGTACTCCAATCACTAGAAACAACGCTTTTAAGAAGTCTTAAATATAATAAAAGATAGGAAGCTGCCACATTCACAGTCTGATTACATAGGCTAAGACAGAGTAAATACGGCTCAGCATTGGAGCACTGAGAAGGGCTATTACTTAAAAACTTAATAATATTATCTGGAAATGGTCAAGCTTATGTGAAACCATTTTCATCCATTTGTGACTTGGTTTGTTAGAAAAACCCTATGGGCAAATCATGCTGCTGCCATGGAAAAAACATGGACAACAAAAATCTGGGAAACTCCATGAGTTCTCTCTCATGGAATTTCCTCCAAATCATCCCCTCAGGGATGGAGGGAAAAGGGAGAGTTTGGCTTCCATGGAGTTGAGTAGGGGGTGTGGTCCTCCCAATCTAGACCGAAGATTGGTGGCATCCTAAAAAGGTTACATTTGTGGTGAGACCTACTGTCTCCATGCTACTTCTCAGGCCTTCTTCGGGGAACACAGATACCCCTGCAACTAGGCTGATCTCCTCTGATAGGGCTGGGTGGGGGTGGAGAGTGCAAAACTGGGGCTTGTTTAAGATGAGGGTAACAGTGTCATCTCTGTCTTATATGGGGCAATCTTCCATGAGTTTGGTGTGGATAGAAGCTATAGATGATGGCTTTTGCTTGTTCCACCCAGTCAGGGGTGCTGCAACAGTTTGTGTAGTGGGGGTGCTGAGAGCCATTGAACCAAATTGTAAACCCTGTATATAATGGAAACCACTTCAAGACAGGGGGTGCTACTGCACCCCCAGCACCCCTAGTTCCAGCACCTATGCACCCACTCCCTGCCCTGCCACTGCACTCCTTTAGTTCTCTCCACCAGAGAGTGGACGTGAGTGATCTGAGTGTGTATTGCAATAATTGCGTGGTTCCCCTTTAGGCTTGGTTTTATTTTAGAGTTGGTTTGTTTTACAGATTACTCCAGCTAAACACTAAGAGGTATGATGACAGAAGCAGGCTATCCAGCAGGTTCTAGCACTTACAAATATGAAAGCTTTCCCTTGGTTCTATTCCAAAGGCTCCAGGACTTAATATATAAAACTGTGTATATCTAGCTCCCCATTTAATCTAATCTAATCTTCTGAATTGTGGTGGCTTCAATGGCACGAGAATGTTAGTCAGGCAAACCTAAACAGCTAATTTGATCTAATTATAAATCGTAGCTCTGGAGAGGCTGAGGTCTGAACTGGCCCTAGTTCTGACTCATTTTTCCTCCTTCAAGGAGCTGATCCCTCCCTAAAATCAAATTGAGGTTTTTGGTCCGGCACAATGGGCTATCAAAACAATATCTGTTTAATGAACCAAAAAAGCACCTTTTTTCTACCACTTCTTAGTGCCCTGTTCTTACATGTACAATTATTATAAAAAGTCAGAAGAGAGAATGTTGCCTTGAGATACGATTTCCAATTGAGATGGATTTTATTATCCCATCTGTACAACAGCCACCATTATCATTTTGATTATATTTGCACTCATTTGCACCATTAGAACATTATCTGTGGTACATTCTTTATTACTTTATAAGAAACTGAAACCACTTCCTTCAGATGAATTGGAAAGAAGGATTTCTATTTTTGCAGATAGATATTCTCGCTGAGAACATTAAGCAGCAAACATTATTTGTAAACGTTTATTTTATTTTATTTAACCAAATTTTAAAAGAAGGATATAACACAGATATTTCTAACAGAGAGAAAAGCCTGCAGCTAGTTGCAACAAATTATTGCAATTTAGAATTCATGTACTGTTAAGAAGTTCTGGTGATAGAATTGTAAGTTCCTTGGGAAAAAAGGAATTCAAATAAATGTAAGGCTGGAGTTGGCCAACTGGCTTAGAGAGCCTGAATTATGCTGTCTTGTGGGAGGCTAAGGTTCAGCTGTGACCTGAGGGCTTTTCCTTCCTGGACAAGTGAAGATCAGACATATCGTAAACAGAATGTAAGTGGGCTCAAGTGTATATGAATAGATAGTGCTTAAGTGTCCCTTGGCAGTGGATTTAGAAAGTCCATTTGCTAGTTTTCCTAGCTGGTGGCAATACTATTTATTTGTGTTACATAGTGCCTAGACTGCCTGAGATTGGATCCCATTGTACTAGGCACTGAACAGACACATAATAAGGGACAGTCCCTGCCCTGAAGAGCTCACATGCTAAATAGGCAAGGCAGGCGAAGGGTGGGAGGTAGGAAGCAATATCTTCCCCATTTTACAGATGGGAAACTGACGAACAAAGAGATTGAGAATTGCCCAAGGTCGCATAGAAAGTCTGTGGCAGAGCCAAGGGTTGAACCAAGAACTCCTGAGTCTCAGACCACTGCCTTGATCACAAGTCCATCCTAACCATGAAATGATCCTCCCTCTGGTAAAGTACTATAAAAAGCCAATGCTAAGAAGTTAATGTATCTAAAGAGGTAAAAGGTGGCCTCATAATGAAAAGATGGGGAAAATATGAGACTGTTTTCAGAGTGAGGCTAAATCCAATAAGGAAAAGCTCACAGTTGTATTCTGGGGGCTTCTACAAAAAAAATTATATATAAAAGAAAGGCCATACTGGTCAGACCAGTGATCCATCTAGCCCAGTATCCTGTCCCTGACAGTGACCAGTACCAGATGCTTCAAAGGGAATGAGCAGAACAGGGCAATTTCGAGTGATCCATCCCCAGCTGTCATCCAGTCCCAGCTTCTGGCAGTCGGACCTTTAGGGGCATCTGGAGCAGAGGGTTGTATCCTGACCATGTTGGCTAGTAGCCATTAATGGATCTATCCTCCATTAATTTATCTAATTCTTTTTTTAACCCAATTATACTTTTGGCCTTCACGAGATCCCCTGGCAACGAGTGTCACAGGTTGACTGGGTTGTATGAAGAAGTTTTTTTGTTTATTTTAAACCTGCTGCCTATTAATTTCATTGGGTGATTCCTAGTTCTTGTGTTATGTGAAGCCTTAAATAACACTTCCCTATTCACTTTCTACACCCAATTCGTGATTTTATGGACTTCTACAGATCCTTGAGAGACCCCATCTCTCTCCATTGTGAAAAGTCACCACGCTTTGCTTCCTATCTTTTAATCAGTTACTGATCCATGAGAGGTTTTTCTGAAAGTCCAAGTACACTATATTAACTGGATCACCCTTATGCACATGCTTGTTGACTCCCTCAAAGAATACTAATTGATTGTGAGTGTGAAATGCTCAGGGAGATTAGAGAGACTACAAAGGCAGAAAATGGGATATTTAAACTTTCCTCATATTGACTGGATATATATCACCTCAAGAAGGGATGCAGAAATAAAGTGTCTGGCCACACTAAATGACTGCTTCTTGGGCAGCTTGTCCTGGAACCCACAAGGGGAGACACAATTCTTGGTTTAGTGGAATGCAGGATCTGGTCCAAGAGGTGAATATAGTGGAACCACTCAATAACAGTGACCAGAATGTAATTAAACTTAACATCCTTGTAGGAGTAAAAATACCAAAGAAACTCATGACAGTAGCATTTAACTTCAAAAAGGGGAACTACACAAAAATGAGGAAGCTAGTTTAACAGAGCTTAAAAGGAATGGTCTCAAGGGTGAAATGCCTGAAAATTGCATGGAAGCTATTTAAAAACAGCATAATATAGGCTCAAACTAAATGTATACCTCAAATAAAAAATAAGAGTATCAAAAATGCCACCAT